TTAGAACAACTATAATCAGATATTTTATTTCTTTTAATTCATAGCAAAATAGATTTGTCAAATTGACAGGGTTTATGCAGGCTAGTCAGGAAAACTTCCCATTTTATTTAAAAACTATCTTGTGGGGAAGGGGGTAGGAGTCCTGGTTTTTGTCTGTTCGTTTCTCCTTAGCTGAAGAACTTGATAGTTTCAGTTTTGGGAGAACTAAAAGATCAATAAACCAGGGTTTTTTTGTTGTTGAAAAATAAACTAATTAATTAAAACTATCTTGAATTTGAATTTTTGCTTAACCATTTAAAACTAATTTCCATGAAGGTAACCCTTTTCGGTCACTTAGCAGAAGGTAAGTGGAAAAACAGCAAGGTTGGAGTGAAGCTGCTGCAATAGTTTGTTCAATTAATCATTAATTTATTATATCTGATTTTGATACATCTTAAGAGTAAGATATGATAGGAAAATATTATCCAAAGTATGCATATGAATAGATATTATACAATAAAAAGGTTTCAGGGAAGTGATTTTGAAAGTTCTTAGTTAAGTAATATTGGACAGTATTCTTTCCTGTAGAACTTTAAAAAAATTTTTTTTTATTGTAAATTAGGTGAAGAATGCAGAACTTAGAATGCTGTGAATCTGCAAGAAAGGAATTATAGTCTATAATTTTCCCCAAACTGCAAAACTTACCAACCAATCCTAGGGCCCTGGAAGCCTTGAAAAGTAAAACTAGTACTTTCAGAATTAACTGTTGATGTTATTATTGTTATATTCTTAGCTTTCTTGAAAGCTGGTGTTAAAGATACTCTGCTATAAATTTAGTGTTTATACTATCAAACTTTGTACTTGGTTTTTTCCTTTATCCTTAATAAAGTTTAATCTTGAAGATGAGCAATTATACAAAATAGATCGGTGATTTAAAAGATTCGCAGTCATAAAACAAGTGATTCGGCTGAAAGTAGGCTTCATGATCCTTGTGAAAGTTTCCATAGGAATTCATGAGTTTAAAAAAACAAAAATTCTAAAGAGAAACCCCTTTCATATTTTTCTTTAAGCTTATGGAACACAGCGTCATATTACGTGCAGTGTAGCAAACTAAACTCTTCAAGAAGAGATCACAGATTGGAATCCATAAGATAGACCTGGCCAACAGATCTAGTTTTGTTTAGCCTCGACAGTAATTTAAAGTATTTAAATCAGTCCCCAATCTTTTTTTGCATAAAAATTGGAATTAGTAGACACTTAAAAAAAACCAGAAAGTTCTTAACTTGCATTTCAAAATGGTTATTACTTGCCAAAACTGAAAAGTGCTTGCTTCCCTTAGTTGTGTTCTGGTAGCATCACACATTTCTGATACTAGTCTGGACCAGTTGGTCTTCGGATGTGTTGGATCTCAGCTTTAAGGATATGGCTGAAGGATTGGGGAGAGGGTGCCTCCCAAATGATACAAAAGCATCTCTTCCTAAGTCATCTATACAAGCAAATAGTGATCAGATTGCCCTGGGGAGGGACAATGCTCAAGTCACATCAGGCTCATTTAAAGACGTTTTTGCTATTTGTAGGCAACTCCCCTATACTTGTCTACAAGTATAAGTGATACACCTTTTACTACCTAGAATATAGCCTGCTTGACAATTTACTGGAAAAATGTTTTACACATGCACAGAGTTATCCTTATTTATATAAACATGTTGCTAGGGAAATTTATATTTAAGAGTCTCAGGAGGAAGCAAAGAAGAGGGCAACCCTCAACAGGTTGGACTGAGACTGGCTGCAGTAGTGGGCTCACACATAGCAACTCTTGATGCAGGACTGGCAGCGCTTCATTCTGTTGTGCACAGGGTCACCGTGAGTTGGAACCAACTCTATGGTACTTAACAACAATGGCATCAACAAGAAATTCTGGTTGTATCCATTTCAAAAATGATTTTTAATGAGGCAAAAGCAATTTCAACGCAGCTGTTTTTATTTATTTTTACTGTACCTTTTCCCATAAATATTTGAGTTCACTTATAAAGTAGAAACATAAACATGTTCAACAAAGGACTATCAACAATCCCTGGATGAACAAGAATTGATTTCAAGCTCTCCATTCTGAAAATAAAGCTAAGATGGAGATTGTGCCTTGTGTGACAGTGGGCTTACATTTAAGAGGGTAGCCAGAGTATGAATAGAAGTTCTTAGTACAAACAGTACCACTATATTAATTTTTGCTTAGCATATAGAGTATGCTGATATTGGCCTTTGTTAATGTTTCTCTAATTCTGCAGAGGGATGAGCCCTGAGCAACTGTTTTTCTGGTGGCAGCTGGGGAATGTGGGTTTTGTGAATAGGGTTAATCAGCACTCTCTCCTGAGTCTTACTTTTTGTATTTCAACCTAATCTGTAATGCCAAGAAATAGGGAAATGCAATGTATTGTATGGTATGTGATCTCTTGAGGTGAGGATAGGAGAACCATTTGGAAGAGAAGCTGTCGTGAGAGTGGGAATGTTTGAGATCTTATGCAGAGTTCTTTTGAGCGGCAACCATGAGTAGGAATTGACTCCACAACTACTACCACTATACTTTTAATTAACGAAAACCAGCCCACTGTGGGGTACTACACAGTGATCCTTTCCACTGGTCAAACAAAGTGATCCGCAGTCAGTCTCAGTGTTCACTCCCCAAACTTTTGTTAAAAAGATTATGCCTGTGATTGATGAATCTATTCAACAGCCACCACAGAAACCCCCTTAGTTTACAGGGAAGAAGAGAAAAAGGAAGGAAAGAACAGGCAAGAAACGTGCCACCACCAAGTCGGTTCAGGCTCATCTGGACCCTATAGAACAGAGTAGAGCTGTTCCTTTGGGTTCTGGAGGTTGTAAATCTTTATGGGAATAGAAAGCCTCACTTTTCTTCCAAAGAGCTGACTGGTGGAGTTACTGCTAACCTTGCCTTTAGCAGCCCAGCACATAATGTACTACACCACCAGGGCCCCAAAGAGACTAAAGGAGCCACCACTCCTTGAACAATTGGAGATCAGCAGAACTGTTAGAAGGAATACAGGCAGTAAGGCCTTCAGCTTAATGAGTCGAGCCATAGTTTCCTCGTCTCTGAGAGTCACATTTTCACCAATTTGGTTCTGGAGTATGGAGCTGCCATTAAGGGTGCCAGTGTATGGCACAGTATCCAAGCTTGGAGGGGCAGGGCTGCCATGTCCAAGTGGCAAAAGAACTGGGTCCTGTTGGGGTTATGGGAGTGGGGACATCAATCAGATAGACTAGAGAATGTAGCCAGCAAATCCAAGGGAGCAGAATTGTAATGCCAGAGAGCCTTTAAACTAAGCTAAAGCCCAGGACTTGGGAGCTTCCACCCAGAATCCAGAAATGTGACCAGCATCTAGCAGCGGTTCTTTACCTTCCTAAGGCCGCGGCACTTTAATACAGTTCCTCATGTTGTGGTGACCCCATATGTGGGCATATCTGCATGTAGGCAGACTTGCCTGGAGACGGATAAAGGATCAGTGTCTCTGTTCCTAAGACCATCGGAGATATGGGCTTAGTGACCCCTGTAAAAGGGTCGTCCCGACCCACAGGTTGAGAACCACTGATCTAGAGTCCAGAGGACAGGGACATTGCCCAGATGGTCTTAAAAAAACAGGATTATTTTTAGGCTTTGAGCGCTAATGTAGTTCATTCTGCTGAGTTTTTGACTTGCTTGGTGCCTATTATCTTCCTAATTTCTCCCACTTGTAATGGAAATGTTTACTTTATGCCTATTTTACCATTGTACTTTGTAAAAAGATCATTGATAAAATCTAGATTTCATAGATTCACAGATGTAAAGGAATGTTCCCCTAGGATGGAATATGCCTAAAGCCTCACTCATAGTTGATTTAAATGATTCAGAAAATGAAAATCTGGACTTGTAATTGAGTTAAGACTTTTAGGATGATGTGCCATAATAAGGTGAATGTGTCTTGCATGTAGTCAAGGACATGAACTTTGAGGGCCCAAAGAATAGACTGCTATGAACTGAATTGTGTCTTAAGAAAAGGTGTGTTGTAAATTCTAACCGCTAAACCTCTGGTTATAATCCCAGTTGAGAATGGATTGTCTTCACTATGTTAATGAGGCAGAATTACTGTAGATTATATTTTGAGTCAATGTCTTTTGAAATATAAAAGTGATTGAATATAAAGTAGCAAGGAGAGTTGTGAAAAGAGAGATGCCAAGCTACATGGAGATCTCTTAGGAGCAGAAACTCAGAGACAGGACTTTTCACGAGAGCTCACAGAGCACTTTCCCCTAGAACTGACACCTTGAATTTGGACTTTTAGCCTTATAAGAAAATAAAGTTCTGGTTGTTAAAGCTACCCACCGTTATAGCAGATCTAGATAATTAAGTTAGTCATCAAGGTATGTGTTTCTAATTTTTGAAAGTTTACTTTGATTTCTAGGCTTGCCTTTACTTAAACAGCTTCCTTGAAGAAAATCAGAAAAATCAAAAGTTAATGTTTGGTAATTCTGTGCTAGTTTGATGAGTGGTAATCTGTGTGAAGTCACTTTGCTGAAAGATAAGTATTTTAATTTGAGAGGTGATAAAAATAAAAAAAGCCAGGTATATAGAAAATAATTCCTAATCTCCAGGTTCCCTCCTTTTTCGTGGGCTCTTAAAAAGCTAAGTGCTGCTTTGTGACCTATTGTAAACAGCCTATTATGTGTTAAAATGAATCTGTTTTAAAATATAGGACCTATCTCTAAAGGACTGCCTTTTTAAAAACAAAACAAAACAAAAGTGGTTTCTGATGGTTTCGTGGTATATGTTTAGAGTGTTGTACCTGTATGTAGCCTCCCCATCATTCTATTGAAAGGCATTGAATGCAGATTGCAATGATTTACATGAATATTATTTGGGTGGTGCATGTTATAACATGCACAAATCAGTGGGTTTGTCTTTAGTCATCTTATTCTCATCTGGAGTTGATGGAAATGAAGTAAGGACCAAGTAAACGACTTTTTTTCAGGTGCAAATTCGACCATGGAACCTAAGTGACAGTGACTTTGTAATGGATGGTTCTCAGCCTTTGGACCCCAGAAAAACTATCTTTGTTGGGGGAGTTCCACGACCCCTTCGAGCTGGTGAGTGGAAATAGTAACACCACAACAACAAAATAACAACAAAATTCCCATTGCTTTTAGTCTTAAATATTTTTTAGATTTCTGGTCAACTACATACAACCTCCCAGAAGAAGGCTATTCATTTCAGTTTCACTGGACTGACTTTTTTGGGATTAAATGCCCCCCACGCCCCTCATGGTTTATTTTCTTATGGTACAAGAGTGAATGTCATTAAATTGTTATGTTGAAAGGATGAAGTTTATTTAGTGCTTTCCTGACTATATAACCACATATTGAGAAAAAAAAATCTGACAATATGCCTTCTTCTGCCAGTTAGTCTTGTTATACAACCAAAAAAGAAGTAACCCCATCAGAAGCTGTCTGCCTACCCAGTGGTGAGCCAAGCCACTACTGGAAATGGTGCCACGGCGAATCAAACTCCTTTGTCTTCCCAAGTGAGATGGGTTCCCATTTTTCTTATGCACTTTGAGAAAAGAATTTTATAGTTAAACATCTTTATTATGACTTTATAAAAGCCTCCTTTTAAAAAATAATTTAACTTTTTTTTTAACATTACTTTCTAATGGTGATATAATTCTGCCTGCTGAGATTGGGCAGAATCTGAATTGACTGGGAGATTGAAGTGATGTTTAAACTGAGGACTTCGATATTTATATCCCAAGACAAACCGAATACAGAGTGAGCCAGCTTCTTAATGATAATGCTGTTGTCAGTGGGATACAATAAAATTATTTCTGAGATCTAAGTTTTCTAAAGCACTTGAAATAATTGAGTTTCTTTTTTAAAGGAAGACTAAATACGGTTACTGTTGCCATTGTGGTTGGAGTATAACATTCCCTCTGTGTTTTTTATAAGGAAATAGATTACAAGTTGGCATCGACTTGATGGCAGTTGAGTTTTGAGTTAGAGATTAGTTCTACCTTAAAAATCATTAAAATCAAATTGTGTAAACAAAATTACACCTATTTAGCCTTATGAGTTTGACAGCTTCTTAATTTTGAAAGTTTCTTAACAATTCTAACTACTTATTTGAATCCCAACTCCAGACTGTACCTAAAACATACCCTTTATATACTCCTGTGTAAGCCGAGTTTTTCAGCACCTTTTTAATGCAGTTTTTGTGGTAAAATTAGGGGTCTAAGCTGATATTTGGGTCAACTTATACTCGAGTATATACGGTAACTTAAAAAAAAAAACAAAAAAAACCCCTCACTACCATGGAGTCAGTGCTAACTCATAGCGACTCTGTAGAAAACTGTAGAACTGTCGCTGTGACTTTCTGAGACTGAACTCTTTATGGGAGTAGAGAGACCCATTTTTATCAGAGTAGCTGTGATTTCGAACTACTAACCATGGTTAGCAGCCCAGTATGTAACCATTATGCCACCCGATCTCCCCACAACATAGTTTAAAGGCTTACAAATACATTCATAAAAAATTTTTTTAAATACATTCATAATTGCATTTGTAAGGACTTCAAATATTGTAATTATAGCTGTTGAGTTAGTAACTTTACAGTATCATAGAAAGTAAAAAGAGTGGAACAAGCAACCAAAGCAGTGGAGGTGCTTGCCCTTTTATCTGCTATTGGAGAAAAAGGGATAGAAAGGTCTTAAGCAAACTTTTAGCAGCAAAACAAGGTGAGGGCAGATGCAACACTGGCACTGAACTACTTGTGCTTTTAAGCATTTTTTTGGTGAGGGTGTTGTGGAATATTCCTGACTTTTTTTTTTTTAGTTTTAGTTTTTTTGGTTTTAGGAGTCCCTTTGATATTGTTTTAAACTTCAGATACCTTCTACAAATATCCTCTGCTAGCCTTCAAGAGAACATGCATTTTGTGCAACATCTTTTCCTTGTTTCTGTTTCATAAACTTCCTGTTTCAACATGGGTGTGGATGTAGACAGGCGTGTTCCTGTGATTTTAAAGAATGCTTTTAAAGGGAAACAGAAATCTGCTGGCCCTAGAGGCCATGGCCCATAAGAAATTATGATGTCCTCCCCCCCCAACTATCTACAAATATAAGTTTATTTTAATATAAGAGCCCTTCTCTTTTTTCCTAGATAGTAATCTGGGAAAACATTACAAAAGAGAAAGTCCCACAATTATTCTAACAATTCTTAATAGAACTGGCTTTTAACCTTTTATGTCAATTTTTAAGTTACAGAGAAAACAGTTTATAAACTAAATTCTCTTTTGCACTATTCACCTTTTTTCTTCCTGCTTTACTGTGTTAGAAATATAGGTAAAGACCTTTGTATCATTTTTCTTCTGTAAGCTCTATAGAGACTCATTTTTCTACTGTTCTACAATCAGAATGACACTACAAGGCAGGAACCCCAAGAAGCTAAATTATATTCTTGAATGCTCTGTCTGTAAGATGCTACAATTTCTAAGACTAGAAAACAACTGTTATCTAGTAGGAATGGGATTTTTTGTTCCCTCCCTAGAAAGTATATTTTTCATGAAGTTCTCTTTAGTTAAGCTAAAAAAAAATTTTTTTGCACTTATGTGGGACATAATCTAAAATCACTTGGCCTTGTGGAAAATGGCCCTCCCATAAAGATAGTTCATTTCTAGGTGACTAAATCAATCCGTATTAGTGCCTTATTCTTTTAGTATCTATCTCAAAACTTCCAGATTGGAGCCCAGGTGATTTAGATGAAAAGAATTGGGGTTTCTTGTGTACTTACGGAGCTTTGAGGACTGGTGTATGCTTTGGGATAGAAGGCTGTTTTTAAAGGAATTTACTTAGACTAGACAACCTTAAATTGAATGCAGTACAGTTCATTTGAACAGTAATCATTTATTGAGCATACGCTATGTTATGGGCACTGAACAAGAGTCCATCCTGCCAACGTGAATGGACATCCCATTTTTTTAAACAGGCCATCACCTACAGAGAGTCAAAACTTTCAGAACAGAGGAAAACGAGAAATGCATTACTAGAATGCTAAACCAGAATTAACTGGAAGCTAAATCTTACTGTGTAACACAATGATTCTCAGGTTTGGTTGTTAAGTACTTCAGAACATTTTTATTATTATTATTTCCTAGAAGTATTGTGGTCACAGAATTCTCAAAAGTCCTGAAAATATTTCAGGCACTACGTACAGAGTGATTCTGGAGCAGATATGGGTAACCAATCCAACAGGTTAGATTTTAGATGTCCAGGTGAATTTTCACCCATCCTCAGTCAAAAATCATCCTCCACCTTGTCACAGTGACTGAAATGTTAACGTTCAAGAGTTATTCCTTTGCAGTTTGTAAGCTTTTTATTTGTTTTGTTTCTTTTCATCTTTGATATTTCTTCATTGTAATACAGGGGCCATTATCAGTTACAAATTATTCTAACTTCAGTCCTTATCTAGCCTAAAGAACTGTACAAGCACAGCTGAACTTAAGGTGCTCCTTCTGGTCCTTTGGCAAACCTGCTTGTTTTAAAACTCTTGTTGGAAAAAAAATCACAGATCTACAAAAAAATTAACCTAAAAATGGGAAAATATCTGTGAAAACAAGATGCATTTACTCAAAGTTAGATCACTTGATTGTGAGTTTCTCTAGGTCAAATAATACATATTCCTATTGTTTCTTGTCCTTCCCTCCCAAGACTCCCATTCGTGACAAGTTAAAAACCGTTTGTCTGAAATCTCTGGGTGTTTTTCAGGTCTTGTTTCTCTCCATTTGCCACACCCTTGCACCCCTCTCAGGCCTGGAAAAGCTGTAGGCAGACTCACCATGCCACCATGTGGCTCAATTTTTGTATTCCTCAGAGATTCAGTGTGGGGAAATGAGCAAGTCTGCCCTGGTTGGTTCAACTACTAGTACCTCTTAAGTACTACCGTATGTTGCCAAGTACTGTAAGCAACACATCTTCCTGAATAGAAAATACAAACATAGCCCTGTTGTGTATGGAACACCTCTCTAGAATGCACATATCTTCACACTGAGAGGAAATAAATGCCAGGCATGAGAGTCATGAACAGAATACCAGGAACCATTTGGTGAGTGGAGCATCTGATCTCCACGTTCTCCTCTGGTTTGTTGTTAGATACCACTGAGTCGGTTCCAAATCAGTGAGCCTATGCACAAAAAAATGAAACACTGCACGGTCCTGCACCATCCTTATCATTGTTCCTCTACCTGAGCCCATTGCTCCAGCCACTGGGCCAGTCCATCTCATTGAGCGCTTTCCTCTGTTTCACTGCCCCTGCACTTTAGAAAGCATGGTGTCCTTCCCCAGGGACCAGTCTCTCTTGACAATATGTCCAAAGTTTGTAAGACGAAATCTTGCCATCCTTCCTTCTAAGGAGCACTCTGGCCGTACTTATAAGACAGATGTGTTTGTCATTCTAGCAGCCCATGGTACTTTCCGTATTCTTCTCCAGCACACACTTCACATGCATCCATTCTTGTTCATTCTTTTTATTCAGTGTCCAGCTTTCACATGCATATGAGGCAATGGAAAATATCTTGGTTTAGTAGTTTTGATCCCAACTTGTCTCAGACATCTGATTTAAGAACTGCCTCAGTGACCAAGCTCTGAGACTCGTCAATGCCCAACTTTGATCAGGCTTGGAAAACCTTCATTGCTCTCTCTGATTATAAGTATATGAACTGTCCTTCTATTTCACCACTTCCTTCCAACAGTTTGTCAGACGAGGCCCAGCAAAACAGGTTTGCCTTCAGTAATTGCTCATCTGAGTTCCTAGAGCCTACCATTCGCTTGCTAAACTGTGGGTCTCCATCTTTCCTAACTACTGCTCTGATCATTTCCCCTTTCTTTTTCTCCTTTACTAATATGGAGGGCTTCTGAATATAAGGCTTATTTCCAGAGAATATACATCCTGAATACTTCTAAGTTCATTTGTTTTAAAATCTTCTGTCCTTTCTTTCCTGGTAGTTCATGTGTGTTAAGAATGATCTCCTGACTTGTGACATAGGAAATAGAAGCATTGTAACAATATCCATTTTTTGTTCTGTGAAGCAATAGCAGGTAGGA